TTTATTTAATTTTTTCTATTATTTACATGATTGATTTGATTGATATGGCCATGACATGATGGATTTGATGTTTTCTTTAGTAAATAAATTATTTTCATAATTTAATAAAGGACCCTAACGTGACTTTTGATGGTAAGTGTTGATGACGTAATTAATCACTTTTAAAATCTTATGACGTTATTTAAATACTTTTTCCTTACTAAGAGTATATGAAATTCACCCCTTTCAATGGCCCCCTACAAATGAGGAAAATAATGAGGAACTGATCGTTAACCCACCCCTTGAAGTCTTTGATAATCCTGTGGATCCATAAACCTTGAGTGCATGACTTGTCCTGCACTCTGATGAGTCTTTTTACATAGTGAAAGAAGTGGTCCTTTTGTATTTTGATATTTTGTATTTTGTTGGCACTTCTGGCCTCAATTATTTGTGTAATTGGAATTCATATATTTTGTAAGGAATTTGTAATAAATTACTCCGTTGCATACAATAAACTACTATGCACTCGTACTCTATTTCTATATCTAGCACTCTTATGCCTTAATTAGTATTTGGGATATCACAAATGGTATCAGGCAGTTATGCCAACCAAATCCCTTACAATTGAGGTTATAGGTAGAAAACCCTCTAAGATATTTAGGAAATAAGTCATCTTTCCAAAAACTAGACCACCAACTCATATCTTCCTTTTCTTTTCTAGGAATGATGCGAGGGAGACATTCTATAGAACATACCGAAAGACTCGAGGCTCAGGATCATCCGACCAGAGCCGAGTTTACCGAACTCTTTTGAGCTATTTGGGGACTGACCGCAGTTGTAGGACAAAACCAAGCCAATCCTCGCCAACATTCTACCCCAGAATATTGACCAACTGAAAGATCTATCTCCCACAACATAGTGAAATTTAGAAAGCTAAACCCACCCCGCTACGAAAAAGGCCCTGACCCTTTAGTAGCTGAAGCCCGGATCTTACAAATAGAGAAATTTTTCTCTATCTTAGACCTAACCGATGAACAAAAAGTCCCCCTAACAGCCTTTAAGATGACCAGTGAAGTCGAACACTGGTGACTTAAAAAGGAAATCCTACCTACCTACTACTTAAAAAGTTTTTATGAACACATTCTTTGATATCCTTTTCTTAGCCTATATCTAAAAGAAGAAGGAGGAGGAATTTTAGAACCTCTATTAGGAAAACTTGAAGATTGCCTAATATACAGCCCTATTCGTCCAGCTTTCTAGGTTTGCCCACTAATGGTCACCCCCGAAAGTTGTAAAAGTTAGAAAATTTCTGAAGGGTCTTCGTGCTAATATCTACGACCAGATTGTGATACTAAGACCTAGCTCGTATGTCGAGGTGCTAGAACATGCCTAGTTGGTTGAAGATCTTATCTCGACCAGGCACCAGTGTATTGCCTGAGTCTGTACCC